GAGCAACAGAGACAAAGAGAGACAGAGAGACAGACAGAGGCAGACAGCGAGAGATAGGGAGGGAGGGAGGGAGGGAGGGAGAGAGGGAGGGAGGGAGGGAGACTCACCGCGTGTTGCCATCCGAGGATACAGAGCACAGCGAGCGAGCAGGCGAGCAAGCTGAGCGCTACGTGATGACGGGAAGCTCGGAGGATGCTGGGATGGAATCGGTATGCCATGAATGCAGTAGGAGCGGAAGGTCTGTGAAGGGCTGGAAGGATCAAGGGCTTGACGCCAAGAGTGGATTGTGCCTATCACCATGTTCAGAAATGTTTTCGGCCAGCAACATATCCCCTTGTGCTCACTTCTACCCTTTTCTTCTCTGTCGCTAGCTTTTCTCTTCCCTTGCTTGCCTTGTCCTCACGCACAAACTCCCTCGTTCCCTTCCTTCAGATTCGTCGCTGCATTTCCTCTGCCCTTCCTCAACATCCCTGTGTCGCCTTGTCTCTTCAGGTTCAGCACAAACCTTTTCGAAACTTTCCTCTTTGTTTTCAAAGCTTTGAAATGATATTGAGTCAAATCAAATTTTTTCGGAATAAAGATTTATAAAGTTGTATGATGACACGGAAATTTCTTTTTTTTTTCGTCGGTTCCGGTTAAAATGCAACATGGGGCGAGTGTGGGCGAAGAGAAGAAACAAGCGATGCAGAGAGGGGGGGGGAGGCTGGAGAGGGAGACACGCACACAGGGAGGGAGGGAGGGTGGAAGTATAGCAAGTCGGAGAGGGAGTATGACAGTGCAGGGGTAAAATCAAAGGGGAGATGATGTGGTGGGCCATGAAGAAGAGGAGATGATTTTAGAAAGAGAGGAGGACACGTGGAGAAAGGATGGCACAGAAGGAATCAACGTCAAAGCGCAGGGGAACATGCAAAGGCAGATATAATGAGATAGGAATGGGAATGGAGAAAGAAACGAAGGCAGGTGTAAGAAGATTACAACGAAGCGAGGAGGAAGGAGAAACTGTCAAGTAAAACAGGAGGTCTATCTATTTGCGTTTCCTACATGTTGTGTGCTGGTTCCACGTAAAGGATATCAAATTGCTCTTTCTTGGAGTGGTTACCCTGTTCCCCTTGCAATGAAAGTGCTGCCTCACAACTCGTTAAGAAACATAACATCATAACATCCGTATTGCATTGAACTTGCTGTATGCCTGTACTGACATGACAAACACGACGTCGGTTTCAAACAGAGAGAAACAAGTAGATCTTGAATGATCTAAATATGCAAAAAATGTGGAGGTAAACGAAGTATAGTTTCGAAATCACAGTTGAACCCCACCGCCTCCCTCGTCCTGAAGACTTACAGCAGATAAATATTCCATCACAGAACTACTCCACTCCACTTCTTCATGTCATCTGGTCAGCCTTCATGAAGTCTACACCGTTGTGCATGTCCCAGCCCTGCAGGTCCGTCATCAACCCCCTTCTCCATTCCCACCGCTGGCTAACCCGAATAATAGCGTCGGTGATGGGCTCGCCATAGCGGCTGAACGTGCTCACAAGATTGCGTTGCGAGGCAACAACCTGCCATTCAAGACTCAACCCCCCCGCCAACAGACGCTCACTCCCGCTCTCCTCGGTACCCACCTCCTCCGGCAGCTCCTCGTCTTCAAGCTCCCCTTGGAAGCCGAACGGATCAGCCTTCCCGTTGAGAGATCCCCTGGCGATCTGACCCCTCACATCAGCCTACCCTTCCCTTGCGCCTCCTCCCCCCTCCCATGCGCCTCCTCCCCCCTCCCCCCACCTGCTTCGTCAGCGGGTCGTCGCTCTTGGAGCACTTGCCTGGCCTGCAGTCTGGTGCCTTGCAAGCTGTGTGCCTCCGCTCGAGCACCTGCCACGCCCACGGCTCAGCCCTCCGACGCTCCTCCTCTTGTCCTCCTACCTCCTTCAACGGACATCGGCTGCACGTCCGCCTGCATCGCTCGACAAGCGGCGTGACCCTGGGAAACCCTTTCTTGCGGTCGTATCGAGCTTCCAGCACGCCTTTCGTCACCGTGTTCATCAGCTGCTTCTTCATCTGCCTCGTAGACGGGAACGAGTCTGAGGGATACCCGTACGAGTCCTGCATGTACTGTGCGGCATCTCCCCACACCATCTTGCGCAGCTCAGGATCCAGCGGAGACTTGTGGTCCGACCCGTACTCCGAGTGCGCGAACTGCAGCAGCCGCTGGTCTTGCAGCCTGAGCACCAGCGTGCAGCCGTCAGGTTGCCGGGCCCGCCTCTCACACCCTCCCTGACTACCTCTCCTTGTCCGCCTCGGACAGTCGGGCGTCCTTGCTGAATGCGGGTCTGTCCTGTCTCGGTCCGCCTGGCCGAAGAACGCTCCTGCCTCCGAGAAAGGCGACGCGCTCCTCGGGTCCCTACATCCTGCTGTCAGCAGCGACCTCCCCGCCCCCAGCCCCAGAGTCAAGGCATCGTACCTGGGAGATCTGAACCTGTCCCCAGTCCCGTCTTTGTGCTGCTGGTCGAAGCCCGAGATCCAGTTGTCTCCGAGGTCGGCTCCGTCGCTATGAGGGTAACGCTGCGGGACAGTGTTGTGCATGTTGGGCTCGATTCCGGATCTCCTGTCGCGCTCTTCTCGCTCATAGCTGTAGTCGCTTGACTCGCGAAGGTACTTCTCGTAATCCTCGATGTCTCGCGCAACCTGTTTCTTCCAGCGGTCGCACTCATCTGGATCAGGCTTGGTGGTACAAGCAGGGGGAGGGTTGTCGTAGGTAGGACGTTGTCTTGCAACATGATTGTGATCTTGATTCACGTGACCTTCATGTTGTTCATGACTGCCATGATGTTCGTTATTCCCATGACTCTCTTGTCCCTGATGATGTTCTGAATGATGCTCCTGATGACTGGTTGAATGTTCAGAAGCTCCTCCGCCGGCATTGAACAAGGCTGTGCTCCTGTGTCTCTGCCGCCCCTCTGCATCAGCTCTACTCCTCCCCCTTCCCTCCCCCTTACCTGCTTCATCTCCTCCCCTAGCAGCTTCATGGTCTCCCACTCCATCTTCGCCATGGCAGACATCATCTCCATCTCTCGATCCACGCGCCTCGCCCCGGCCCTCCTCTTCTCGCCGGTCCCCTGGCCCCCTCCCCGGTCAGCTCCCTTGCCTGCCTCTTGCACAGCCCGACGTCGGGCGACGCCTCCTACCTCGTGGGCCTTCTGGACCAGCTTCTGCGCTCGGCGCATCTCTGCTCTCAGTGCTGGAGGCTCCCCGTAAGTCTCCTTCCTCCTCCCCCCCCCTCGGTCTTACCGTCCATGTCTGCCTGCCGCTGGGACCGCTCGCCCTCAACCTTGGCCCTGAGCGTCTGCCCCTCCCGTCAGCCCCTTGCATCACCCGCATCCCTCCCGCTCGTCCTACCGACGCGACGAGATCTGCCTTCCTCATCTTCTCGACATCCGACCTCTCCTGCGACCTGACGCGGTCGATCCTCCCTCGGATCTCTCGCAGCTTCTCGTCCTCGCTCCGAAGCCTCGTGCTCGCTTCTCCCACATCAGCTCCGCTCTGCACATACGCCAGCCTCACGTCACCAGCCCCCGAAGCCCCCGAGGCTCCTCCTCTGTCTCACCCTTCGCCTCGACGACCTACGGTCCTCTCGCGTCAGCAGCTTGTCCGCAGACGTCACGTCCGCCTCAAGCCCCGCCATCTCCGACTGCTCCCCCGTCAGGCTTCCTCGCCCTCTCTCCTGCGCCCCACCTCCGCATCGAGACGCGCGAGCGACACTCGCCGGCTCCCCTGCTGCTTGAAACACTAGCGAAGAAGTGCCAGATGGGCTTTGAGTTAGAGCATGTCGATCTCTGGAATTGTAACATTGAAGCTGATGTAAACCGGGTCTCTGGTCTCTTTACCAAGCAAGTAAGATAAGCTACAACACGGATTATCAGCTTCTTTTGCCCCTCCCCCATCTCCCAAGTCTCAAAATCCTCCGCGACATTGCAACCCACAAGCCCAAGCCAACGAGCTTGATCGTTTCTTCAGAGGCAACTGCCAAGAGTCTCACTCGAAAAGCTCACATACAACTTGTTGACGAACCAGAGTGTAGGCGTCGCCCATGTTGTCCTGTGATGCTGCCAGAGATCTGAGAGCAGAGTAAGTAGTGAAAGACATACTTGAAACAGGTACATCAGCGCCTCTTGCTGCTCTGTCTCGTACTTCTTCTTCTCAAGGTCCGCATGCAGCAAATCCCACAACCTGCTAGATCGACCGCCAGG